GCGATGCACTTGTTTCTAATAGCTTCTTGTTACTACTAGTAAGGCACTTGTTACCAGCCAGGGTGAGGACTACGTGACTTTCTGTTGCTTCGAGAACCAAGTTCCACCATTAAGACCTGAAGCGACCACTTAGACTTAGCTCGGTCTCTTCTCAAAGATTTGTGAATCATCCTTTCCATTCCTTTCCATGAAATGTCCCAGAAGAAGCACGGAAAAGCCAATCAAAGCCGCCAAAAGGAACACGGTCGTGAACAATAGATTCAAAAAGCAGTACAAAACGAAAGACAACATGCACCTTCGGAGACAAAGGCAATTTGAGAAGTTCATCTGTATGAACCGCAAATCCCTCACATGAGGGACCTCCACATTGCTCCAATTGCTCTTCAAATATGATCCTCACTGTCGATGTAATGATGTCGCCCGCAACATGCACACCCTTTTTGAGGTGTCAATGTTATCTTTCGTGTCCCTTCTAAGAAAACCAAAATTTTGGAGTGTATGCATTTGTATAAGTCTGACTCACAGAACAAGACAGTGCTTCAATGCACGTGAGACTCAGAGGTTCCTGCCCGAAGTAAGCTATACTACTTCTCTGCTTCAATTCAAAAGCTCTTGAACCTGCCTTTCTCCATCCTAATGCAGCAAACGTCACATACTGTCGCATCATTTCCAAGTTTCCCTTGTGTCGCATCGTCTGCACCAGGCTCCAAATGTGCCACTTCTTTGCGTTCGCCATGGAACCATGTGCGGCATTCAAGAAACAGCACCAGCTTCAGGAAACAACAGCGCCACTTTCTTGTGGCCCCCGCTCGCTGTTCAACAATCCGGACTTACTGCATTCTGGTCAGCACGATCCTGTACGATGCTGCCGAACGCAAACAAGCGCTCTCTTCCGTTTCCGGCGTGCTGACCAACTGCCCCTGGCACGTTCTGGTTAGCAAAAGCATGCAACAACAAGCGCACCACTTCAAAATGGCCCTCCGCAGCTGACAAATGCAAAGCTGTCAAGCAAACCTGAATTCCTGCACTGACATCAGCGTGGGCCTCAAGCAAACACTGAAACACCTCTGAGGGACGCTCAGCAAATGCGCCATGCTAAGCTGTTAAACCCTCCAACTTTCACACATCCGTACTAGATACTTTCAATTGTCCTTTCTGGTCAGCAGCATGTATATAAAGAGTTTCCAGTCGGCACCTCTGACATTGAGGCTCTGTGATCTTTCAACAGGGTGTTTAGCCTCTTGAAGACAGGATGGACCAACCGCACGGCATATCATCCTGCAACTCCCATCCCGAGTGGAAACGTCAAAGCCTTGAGGATCCGATCTTAACTAACGCCTTGCTTCAAATCCAGTGCTCACATGGTCCAGTGCTCACCATCGCATTAAGCTCATCCTCAGAAAAAGACTGTAACTTGTTGCTCCTGAAACCCGCTCAATCGACGTTTTGGACGATGCCCAAAGCCGCTGCGACGACAATCCGGTGCAAAAAGAGCCTATCCAGTGCGACCAAAAGCTGCAGAAGACACATACGATGAAATCGGAGGAAGTCTGTCTCGTGGCCATTTTGTGGGGGAGGTTCAGGTTCTGCTTCACTATCCATCTGGGTGTGTATGTCACTCTTATTCAATGAAGAGACCTCGCTGGCCCCAATGAGTTGACTGGCCTGTGTTCATCTATTTTCCTTCTCCTACGGGACTTTGCTGGGTCTTCCTACTTCAACATACACCCCTGGGCCCTCCATGTGCTCTTCTCGAATGAAACGCCAAAAGCTCGCCAAAGTTCGCGGCCCCATTGGGCCCCACGCCTTCAAGCTTGGAGGTGAATTGCGCCCCACACCTCGACCACGGGCCCCAGATCCAGTGGCATTTAGGACAACTCAACAGGAAGATAGGGCGATGATGGAAAGTGCTGAAGATTGAAGAGTTCCATCCTAGAAGAAATCTTAGAAGAAGGATGCTTCAGGTACTCACTCCCTCAATTTCCCTGGAACAACCTTATTCCGTCTGTTGGATTCTAGTGGGGAAACCTATCCCAAACAGGCTTAAAGGTTATGCTCTGACTGCGTAGGTGTAGCTTCCTTCAACCGTCCAACTATCAAGTTCAAATTCTGGCCTTCTTCAGACCAAGAGGGGCCATCCTTCCAGCTGGAAAGAGAGGGTTTTGACCCATAAGTCGCATAAGCATGCCTCAAGCCAACTCCCAACCTCTGTTGATAATATCCCAATTCTGCAATATTGCATCAACAATGCCTCGGAAGATATGCCAACCTCTAGGTGGCTTGCATCTAGATTCTAGATGGATTTGATTGGATACTCTTGGCTCGCGATAAGATGACCCTGTCGGAACGGCTGTGGCAGCCTGTGGCATCATTCCGCAATCGCGGCTGAGTGCGGCGCTTCATCTTCAGCTTGGCGATCATGCCTTGTGGTGCATGTTGAGCGGCGGGTGGAAGTCAAGCGCCGCGCTTGCCACACCGCGCGAAGTGTAGTGAGACCGTGAGACCCCGAAGTTCACAACTTGGAAGGACGGCGAATCCAAAGATCCGATGACTAGCATTCTTGCTAGGAGCAAGGAGTAGCGATGCCCGGGGTCCTAGTAGCGATGCCCTTTGCTACTAGTAGCTTCTTGTTACTAGTAGCGTTCTTGCTCCTAGTAGTAAGGCCAGGAGCCCCTAGTAGCGTCCTTGCTCCTAGTAGCGATGCCCTTTGCTACCATTCTTGCTTACATTATTGCATAGATCAAGTTGTTGATGCCGGTCTTCCAGTCTTCAAATCATTTGTGAGAACCCGACTCGCCTGAAAAACCTCTGGGTGCCACACTCTTCTCCGCATCTTCCGAGGCAGAGGTCTCGTACAGAAGGCGCTTCGAGAGCTGATTCCTCGAAGAGTCCAGAGATGTCTGAGGGTTTTGTCAACCCAAAAAAGATTGTGTTCGAGGATTGAAGACCACCAGGATCTGTCGTCATTTTTCTCAGAAATGCACGCCATATCTAACACCACTCGGAAGGAGGGAAAATCGACCAGGCTGCAAATCAAAAGAAGCACGTCCAAATCCTTCTATGGAATCAAAGCACGAATGAATTCGAAGTTCTGTTGAATTAGCACCACAACTGAGATGGCTTCTGAATCCGTATGGTGCCGGGTTCAGTTCCAACCGTTCATGGTGCAGGGAAAGAGCCAAGCCAAAGGGGTTCTTAGCGAGGTTGATTACCCAGCCTCGCCAAACTGAAAATATAACAAGTCAAAAGCTCCTCATCCACCTATTGACCTATTAATTATTGACCCCTTCGAGTGCGTTACCCACAATACTGCGCAGCTACTTGACTTAGAGTGTAAACTTCATCTTCACCCCATGTCCCATTGTGGTCTATTCATTGTCAAACTCCTGGCTTCAGCCTCAGCCCATTTGATGGGCAGTTCTCTGTCAACCCTCGACTTGCCCCACCTTGTGGGGTACTGGAGGGAAATGATTGTGAAAAGACATATAGCAAAACTGCGCACCCCAACCACACATGGTTGAATCCAAGTGGCTCAAATGACATGAACTAGTCAGTTAAAACTTAATTTGCTTGCGTGAGACCCCACAGTGGTATCGAAAAAACGTCCAAGATCGAGAGGTGCGTACTACAGTAGAATCTACAGTAGTTTCTTCACTTGCCGTTGGTAACATATGTAGTCCTAGGTCTTTCCCCAGTGAAGAGCTTCTTGGAAACAAAACTCAAGAAAAACTCCTTGGAAGACTTGAAACATCTGGAAACCATGAGAGACGTCCTGACAGCTGTTGGCGATCAACCAACGGTAGGACCAACGGTCGACGATCGAGCCAATGGCCGCCGCCCCATGGCCTATAGATCTCGGCGAAGAGATCCTTGTCACTGAGGAAGGAGAAGAGCTCCACCTGGGCGCTCTGCGTGTTGCCGGCGGAACACCGCGGCGGAACGAGGTAAGCACCCCAAATACGTCCACACACCCTTGGAGTTACAGGTAATGCTCATGGTAATGCTCATGGACCGGATCAGAATTTTGTATTTTGAGTCTGTTTCAGCCATTTGTTTGTCCTCAAAAGGATCCTTTTGGATCCAAGAAAGGCTCACATTGATGGAGTTCAAGGAGCTTTACCCTTGGGTCCTCTTCTTTTGGACCTTGATCGCTGGGAGCCGCGTCTCCAAAGGTCCAGTGGGCCTTGCAAGGCGGCTCTCCAGAGCCGCCAAGCCGGACTGTACAGCCAGAGCCGGACTGGTCCAACAGGCCATGTGGGCCATGTGCCTTGAGGGCCTCCAGACGTGCACCTCGACCGTACTTCGTTGAAACTAGTTTAAGACATCCTAAGACCATACTGGAGGCTTGGCGAGGTTAAGGGACGTAAAGTGCACATCGAACTTTGTACAGAATCTTGTGAACTTCTGGTGTGTTCGGGCAGGTGATTCCCACCGCATTGGAAAACGTGGCAGTTCCAAATGCAATTGCCAAAGAATATATCGATATCGCGTAACTGCAGGAACTAGTAAGGCATCCTCACTCCAGTGGAAGATGCATTTGTCAGAGGTTTCATCTGCCAATGCGATGTTTCCTGCGTTTCAGCTAATTCACCCTACCCGGTTTGCCATGATCTGTGCCGAGCCTCAATTCGCATGGACACCTGGTTGGCCAACGGCAGCCAAGGCGACGACGGTCGAGTTTCAAGCAATGCAACAAGGGTTGGTATAGGCAGGCCCCAAAGACTTCTATTCCCCACAAAAAGTTTCTTTCTGCATTCCAATAATAACTTCAATTGCAGAGTTCATTTCTTGAAGACCATGGTCGAAGGCCGCAACTCGTCACACGTATTTTATCTGGATGTATATTTTTTTTGCGAGATAGAATATGATGGTGGTCATGTTCGCTCACTCTTCTTATTTTCATGAATTGTTGTAGATGGACAATTCTTTCATGACCAAAATTCAGTTTTAAGAAGAGTGATGCTGGGTGCAGTGGGCCGAATTGATGAAAACCAAAGATTTAATTCAACTATTTATATATTGGCCGCGTAATCCATGTGTATGATGGCCTTATTGGCAATCTGCGGCCTGAAAAATAGAAAGAAAAAACAATAAAAATACCATCACACAAAAAGAAATTAATACGATGACATCATGTTTACCTGAGGATGTTATATCATGTTTCATTGTTGCTTGTAGAAAACAGTGAATTGGTTCAGTGGAAAGTCCCGACAGCCAAATCACCGCGGCCGCGCGGGTCAAGGTTTTCTCAGCTGTTGCTATGCTCACTTCCCAAGCATCTCATATCAACATGATGGGGGGCACTAGGCTGCCACCACCCACTTTCTTCCTAAACGGTCGGAGCTGGATTCTAAACGGTTGCGAATATATTTCTGGATGTTTTTTCGTTTTTTTTGGGTTTTTTTTGTCTTTCGTGTTTCGTGGCAGGTGCAGTACTTTGTGGACCTTGCAAAGCACATTTCGTGGCAGGTGCAGGACTTTGTGGGCCTTGGAGTGCAGAGTTTGTGGCAGGCGCAGGACTTTTTGTGGGCCTTGAAGTGCAGATTTCGTGGCAGGTGTAGTACTTTGTGGCCCTTGGAGTGCAGATTTTGTGGCAGGCGCAGGACTTTGTGGACCTTGAAGTGCAGATTTCGTGGCAGATGCAGGACTTTGTGGGTGTGGAAGTGTAGAGTTGGTGGCAGGTGCAGGACTTTGTGGGCCTTGGAGTGCAGATTTCGTGGCAGGCACAAGACTTTGTGGATCTTGAAGTGCAGATTTCGTGGCAGGTGCAGTACTTTGTGGATGTTGAACTGCAGAAAGATAGAAAGATAAATTGATAGATAGATTAGATTAGATTAGATTAGATTTAGATAGGTAGATAGATAGATAGAGGAGGCATATTTGCTTGGTTAGAAAGTTTCGCACCGGGGAGTTCACCTTAAAATATTGATTTCGTGGCAGGCGCGGGTGTCGGGGATGAAGTGCAGATTTCGTGGCACGGGGGGGGTTGGGGGGGGGCGCAGCGCCCCCTCCAGCAGCACACCAGATCCAAAGGTGAGCAGCTCGTGCTTGCTTGCTTGCTTCCTTGCTTCCTTGTTTGGTTTCGTCTCTGCAACGAAAACAACAGGAAAAGCAAATACAAAAAGAGAAAGGAGAACAGCTGCCAAAAGAAAGTAAGAAAGATAGATAGATAGATAAATAGATAGGTATAGACAGATAGATGGATAAGCCAAAAAGCCAAAAGCCACAAAAGCCAAAAGCCACAGAAGTCACGAAAGCCACGAAAGCCAAAAGCCACAAAAGCCAGAAGCCACAGAAGCCAGAAGCCACGAAAAACAAAAAAAACAAAAAAGAAACAAAAAAAATCCAAAAATAAATACCCCTCCAAAATTAACGGTCAGATTCTGAAACTGGGGTTCTGAAACTGGGATTCTAAGGCAAGCATTCTGAAATGAGGCTCTGAAACTGGTATTCTGAAACTGGAAAGTCTGGACTCAAGATGCGGAACCCTAGTTGCCACTCAAGAGCTAACACAAGCCTTCACGGTACACTTCGAACCTTTGAGCGGCCACTTGCTTTACATTACCGCTTGTGACCAAGACCGGGCCCAGCCAAGCAGCACCAACTCACGGGTATTGGTTCCCATTCCTGGGTCATCCGCGTCTGCTTCGTACGACTCCTCAGAGATCAAGCCGCAACCGTGCGAGGCTCCACGACGCGCGTCCACCTCAATTCACACAAGCCAAAAATTGCCGCCTTCCAACCACCATTGCTTCGTCCCAGGACCAACCCTGGGATGTTACCCTGGCCATTGGTTGGTTCGCCGCTGGAATTCGCTCTCATACACGCAACACCAAATTGTCCAAACTGCACGACACCCACGCTGCTCTCAACTCGCGACAATATCAATGCTGGGCCGCCTTTTGTCTGCAGGCGAATGCTTGCATATGGCACCGCAGCAATGGTTAGTAACGATGAACACCGTCTCGCTCAAAATCGTCATGGTTAGTAACGATGAACACCGTCTCGCTCAAAATCGTCTGGATGGCATCACCGATGCCCCACAATTGGGTCTGAGTCTGAACTGTGGCCTCGAAGCTCTAAGTGAACAAGAATAAAGGCTTCAAGCTTGACCTTGATGTCCATCCATGACGGGCTGCTGGCTTGACCGGATCTAAGGTCTTCGCCACGAGGAAGGTTGAAGCGATAACCGCTTGACGGCGATCGGACGAGATGTCGAAAACGCTCCAAGTTCACATAGCATATTGGTCAACACTTCGTCCAACAACCAATTCTGGAAGGGACTCTGGATCCGATTGTACTCCATGATCAAGATCGCTCCTTCACCTTCAGATCAGGCAGCTGGCTGCTCAAAGGATTGTGGGATGTTGCCCATTCCCCAGCGAAAAACGCTTTCCTCGCCGAGTGGCCTGCTCTTGCTACGTCCTTCCGGGCGGTCAACAGAATTTTGCTAAATCAACATCCAAAAGACTTAGCTCAGTGCCAACCTTCACCCCCTTCACCTCCTACACCGCCTCACGCGTTCATCGACGCGTTCATCGACGTGGTCTCGATTCATGAGTTCATACACTCCCTGGAGGATGAAAGTCGTCCACGACCTCGCGGTTGGGTTGCGACAGCTTTTCACGAACTCGCCCAACATCAAATCCAACCTCCGGTTCCGAGGGAGGAACGAGACGAGCAGAGCGAGCGGAGCGAGCATCTCGTTGGGTGTACATCACGAGACACAGACGATGCAAGGAGCGAGGCGATGCACCGATGCCGTCTTTCTCCCGCCGGACGCCGACGGAAAAGAATAGTTGCATTGCAACGCGCCATGCAAGGGGTCCAGGAGATCAAAAAAATTGGTCACTTGGTCGTTGCCATGGAAGATGATGGTGGGCCGAAGTGCCAAAGAGGCATTAATATATATGCATATCCTTTCTATATCTTTCCTAGATTTCTTCCTAGCCCAGTCTGCACTAGAGGGCCCAACACGAGGGGGATACCCAACCAAGAGGCTGCAACAAACTGAACACTCCCAATTCCCAGCATCCAAAAACATCTTAAAGAAGGCGCCTACACTACCCTCGTCTTTCGCAAGGTCGCCAAGTGACGTGCTGCGCAGGGCCGCCTCCACCATGGTATTGCCCAAGGAAGAACTTGCCCATCTCCCGGTAGACCAGGCGCCACTGCTCCTTGCTTTGGGGACTGCCACGTCGATCATCGCCAGGAAGTCATTTTGAGCTGAGTAACGACTTCAACGGCGCGGTTCCTCCCGGGATTCCTCTGGACGTCGGCGTGGCGACGGCGGAATCTGGGCGAACAACAAAGGGACGGTTTGCGACTCACAGGTGACCAACGAGCAATGTATTTTCACAGTCACACTTCTTCACATAGTATATAGATCTATAGATGCATTGTTCATTATGTTCTGTTATGTTAGCTTATGTTTATGTGGTATCGCTTTGGCTGCACTGGCTCTCGTTGTTCGCTCTGACTGTCCTGCCGTCAGTGAACTTCAAGGGTCCATCCTCATTGAGCTGCTCTTCTTGGATTCTCTCCTTTTTCAGCTGCAGGTCCTTACGGGCAGTCAACAGAATTTTGCTAAATCAACATCCAAAAGACTTAGCTCAGTGCCAACCTTCACCCCCTTCACCTCCTACACCGCCTCACGTGTTCTTCGACGTGTTCATCGACGTGGTCTCGATTCATGAGTTCATCCACTTCGCTCCTGTAGGGTCAAAGGGAAGCTCGCGGCTTGTGTGTCCAAGCCGTCCACGAACTCCCCAAACATCGAATCCAACCTCCGGTTCCGAGGGAAGAACGAGACGAGCGAGCGAGCATCTCGTTGGGTGTACATCACGAGACACAGACGATGTAAGGAGCGAGGCGATGCAGAGGTGCCGTTTTTCTTCCG